AGCTTGTGAGCAGTCACCTAAGATGCAACTATTGGTCCCTCTCCATCCAGAGCAAAGAAAAGTAAACAAAATCAAAGACTTAAGGAAACAATTAGTCTAAAGGACTAATAGACAACATGAACTTCAGCCTCCACTACTCTGAGACCAGAAGAACTAGATGGTGCCAAGCTATCATGATTGACCTGCTCTGCTCAGGATTGCAATAGAAAGTCCTCGATAGAGAGACAAGAGAAAAAAAAACAAACAACATAGAACAAAATTCAAAATCATTAAAGACACCAGACTCTCTATCAGACTGGTCTGATAGAGACTGGTGGAATCCCTGAGATGGTGCCCCTTAGATACCCCTCAAAAGCTGAACACACCCGTGAAGATCAACATTCAGCCCAATAGACAGGCATATAAAGTGAATAACACCACCAGGGAGAAACGTACTCTTCAGTACAATTAAGCATACGAGACTACAAAGGTAGCATTTGTCCAAAAGGCTCAGAAGGCAGGAAGAGGCAGGAAAGAATGAGGGGAAATCAGGAACCCAAGTAGAAAGTGGGAAGAGTGCTGTTACAACGAGGGGATGGCAAGCAATGTCAAAAAACAAAATGCATATAAACTGTTGAATGGAAAATTAATTTGCTCTATAAACTTTCACACAAAGTACAACAAAAATTTCAAAAGAAATAAATAAAAAGAAATTGGGAGAAGATACTTGCAATGTATAAAAGTTTTTCCCCTTCCAATACTGCACTGAATCATAGCCTGAAGCAGTATAATAATAAGAAATAAAAGATTTAGGATTACAAAGAAAGAAACAGAACTGTCCTTATCTGAATACAATATAATTGCTCACATGGAAAACCCAAAAGTCTGTTAGAAATAAGAGCATTCTCAGCAAGATTGCTAAATAGAAAATCTATAGCATACTAATACAAAAGCTACAACCAATTAGAAAATGTGTTTTTTTAAAAAAGATCCTATTTGTAAGAGCAAAATAACTTAGAGGATATATAAGTTTCTAAAAAATGTTCAAGAAATTTAAGAAGAAAGTTATTAAACTTTTTGAGGAAGACATTCTCATACATGGAGAAATAGAATTATATATAAGACTCAATATCAAAAAGATATAGATTGTCTCCAAATTGTTGTATACATTCAATACAATTCCAATCAAAATCCCAATACAGCATTTTACTCAACTTGAGGAAGTTGATTCTAAGATTTATATGGAAGAATAAAGGACTCAGACTAATCTAAGACTATTTTGGAAATAATTAGGAATAATTAATAATTAACAGGCATAGTTAAGGCGACCCTCACTCTCTCAGATAGCAAGACTTTAGATAAAAGCTATAGTAATTAAAACAAGGTAGTACTAGGGAAGGATAGACCACAAAAAATGGAACAAAACAGAGACCCTAGCAACAGAACAAGTTATATATGGCACCCTGATATATGACAGATGTGGCATTAGAAATAAGAGAGGAAATAATGAACTATTCAGGAAATATTGTAGGAAAATTGGCTTGCCATTTGGAAAAAATAAAACTGAATCTTAATTTCACACTAAACACTAAAATTCCAGATGGATTAAAAACCTAAATACAAAAAGCAAAATTTTAAAACTTTTATAATAAAATTATTACTTTGGGGTAGGGAAAAGAGTTCTTAAACAAGACAGGAAAAGCTAAACCACAATGGAAAAGATGGACTAAATTGATCATCAAAATAAGATATATGTGTATGTCAAAGACACCATAAAGTTCAAAGACAAGCCAGAAATTGGGAAAAGATACTTGCAATGTATAAATGTGGAAAAGGATTAGTATCCAGAAATTATAAAGAGCTACAAATCAATTCTTTTTTTAAAAAAAAAAAAAGCAATCAAATTGTAGGTTAAGGACTTTAAAAGGCAATTAATACATAAAAAAAAGGAAAGCTGAATGGCCAATAAAACAACATGCAACTTTACTGGTAATCAGAGAAATTCAAATTGAAATCACATGACACTGTGCCCATCATCAAACTGGCACAAATTTAAAAGGCTGACAACTCTGAAGGTTGAAGAAGTTGTGCAAAAATGGGAAGTCAAATACAGCAGCACAGAAACTGGCACTCAAACACTGCAAAAGAGGGGGTGAAGAGGGTACCGTCACTACTGCCTTTACAGACATGGCATTTTTCACAAATTGAAGGTCTGCAGTGACCTTGTGTCGAACAAGTCTATGGGGACCATTTTTCTAACAGTATATGCTTACTAATCGTATCTCTGTTCCATTTTGGTCCGTCTCAAAATATTTCAAACTTGTTCATAATGCTATTGTACATTTAATACACTACAGTACATAGCATAAACATAACTTATATGCACTGGTGCAGTGAATTGCTTGATGTGGCCCTTCTAGCCATTGTCTTCCATTCTGTGATGTTTTGTAAATCCCATTATCCATGCCTGTTTGGGGTGGTATGGTAGTTAAGGTCAAGGATCAACTTGGCTGGGCAGCTGGTAGTAGTCATTCCCTATAATGACTGGCAATGACTCTGTGATGGGATTTAGGTTATTTCTGTTGGGGCAACACAGGTGGAATGTTACTTGAGTCCTGCCTTGCTGGAGGGTATAATTCAATCACCACCCTTAGCTTCCCTGAGGGTATACCTACGAATCTCCTGGAAAGATTCACCCTCCTCTTGCTCCGGCTTTGTGTCTTGGTTCATCCTCATCTCACCCCTGGATTTGGGACAGCAGCCGTCATCTGACCTGCTGATCAAGGTTCATCAAACCCTGAGAATTGGGAGGATCCTCCAGACCTACTCATGGACCTGAGACTTGCCAGCCTGCCAGCCTCCACCACTACTACGTGAGACGAACCCTTGGGTGTCTGTGAGTTCTGTGAGGCGTTACAGTAAAATACAGAACCCTAAGACTGGGGAAATTACTGGGAGGAGAAGGAGGAGGAGTTAATGTCTGAAATGATGGAGTGGTATGGTAGATTGGACATCCGGGACATCTGTAACCTCTGCCTCATGGCGACAGGTCTTGTGCTGATCTTTCTGAGAGAAATTGTTCAAGCAACTGGGAAACCAAACAACTTATGTAACCCGTTTGTTACGATATTTGCTTTACTGTAGTGGTCTGGAAGTGAACCCACGACACCTCTGATGTATGCCTGTATGTTGTAAACGTGAAGATGTGCATATCCTATGACCTATGTTATTTCTACTCGGTCCTATTTCTAGATACTCTAATCTCAATTCTACTCTAGAGACCCTAGAGCAATGCTTCTCAAACTACCTGTGGGAAAGGACTCTGTGTGTGTGTGTGTGTGTGTGTATTTCAACCTGTCAGGAACAATTATTTTATACATGATAATAAAATGAATTACTGGAAAAAAGAAATTAAAAAACAGAAAGATAAAAAAATATAAGCCCCAATTTTTTTTATCTGATTCAACAGACATAAAATTAATGTTTAAAAATGCTGTAAGAACTTCTAAAACTCTCATTCTCAATTTTTGTACTTATCTCATTATGGACCAGAAACAAAAAGCTGGTGACAGGGCAGCAATACATACCACATGCTGAATAGCACTACTCTAGGGAAATTCTTACACACTGCACAGGGCAACATAGGTAAGGTTGTTACTGCAGCACTATTTGTAGTAAGGAAAACCTAGAAACTACCTAATTCTTCATCAGTAATTCATCAGAGTAAACTGAGGTTCACTTACTGAATAATATAATACATGGCAGTTAAAACTCAAAAACAATGTTTATTAAAAAGGTAACTTGTAAATAAAAGGTACAGTTTGACATCATTTTTATTATTTAAAATAGGTAAAACAATTCTATAAATTGTTTATGGATATATATTTCTAGTGAAATTATAAAAATATGGAGAGAATGTATATATACCAGATTATGAATGAGTTCCATTCTTACGGTGGTATTTAAGTTGAATTTCTATGTAAGCTGGAACAGTTAGATATGGTCTTATCTAATGTCAGTCAGATGTTTATCTTAGTATGTAGTATACCTTTTGATGCTTAAAAAACATTAAAGGAACACAGCTACCATAAACATCTTTAACATAATAATACAGTAATAATAATACTGTTCTGATGCATGTCACAAAGTAGCACCCACTTGTTATTACTATTTGTATATACCTCAAATTCCCAACAGGCTTTTCAGGGGTTGGCTCATAACTATGGGTTGTACCTAAGCAGGTATTCGTAACCTGGGGACTGCCTGTACATCAGCTTCAGAAAAGAAGCTACTATGACAAGAACGGTCAAGGAATAACACCAGGGAAGGATAAAAAGAAGTCTTCAAACAGATCTATAATTTTTTTTCCTTATGAGAAAATATGACCTGAAGGAAATATATGGCAAAGTGTTAATGCCTTCATTAATATTGTTCATTATGTATGCACTTGTATATTCAAAATATTTAACAAAAAAATATTTAAATATTCAGCATCCTAGGAACAAACAACTGCGGTCTAAAACTATAGTCGAATAGTATTCTGGAGTGTTAGGAAAACCACTGTAATTCAAAATGAGCTGGAAGCAATCCTGTTGTAATATCATCGATGGCAGTATCTACCTATCCACATACAACCAACTGCAAGGTAACAGCAAGGATGCATACTATAATCCTGAGCTCCAGCCAAAAAATTTTCCTGTTCTTAATCATATGAACAAAAATTCTACTGTAGAAAGAGAACAAAGCTGCTGATAAGCCCTACCTACTCTCTTTGTCCTTAAAAAATAACAAGGCAGCCAATAACGTGGCAGAGAGCCAAAGTACTTCATTAAGTATTGGCTTCACCTCCTTTTTAAGGCTTTAGGACTTCTGCATGTGCAAGGAGTTTCAAGAATTCTCCACTAAGTAGGATGCAATCTTATCTGAAGCCTACCAATATTCATCATGAGACTGACTGACCACAGGACAAACTCGTAACACATGTACCTAGAGACATCCATTTCAGAAAGAAATCCAAGTACCTATAACAGCCTTTTTCCTCTCTGTCTCAGCTTCTTTCTCCACAACTTTTTGTTTCTGTGCAGCAATAAGAAGTTTTGTCTTCTCAGCCTCCCTGTGGAACAACATATTATGAAAATTAGGAATGATTCTCTTAGGTGCAGTCATATAGACAATAATTCTGACCCTACAGTGGATCACAAGAACCATTCTACACCAAGAACTTTCTGACCTGTTAAGGTAGGCAAAACAGGTATTCCTCTGTTTTACTTAGTAATGAGTCTAAGGGTAAAAGGTTAAATGATTTGAAGTGACCCAGAGTTAAGTGTAAATTTACTATGTTTGAATTTTAGTCTAATTTTTTCTCTAATTATATCATGGAAAGGTCTCTCATCTGGAAAGAAGAAAGTGTACTATTAACAATTCCCTTGTTGTTAGGCCACCTGCTAGCACCACTGTGCCAACCACTGTGCACCAGTCTCTGGGCAGCTTCAGTTTCTCATGTACAGGGTCTGGTACGCAGAATGAAATGGGTTTTCAGCCACTGGTTCTGGAAGCACAGTGCCTAAGGCACTTGACTGCTAACCAGAAGGCTGGCGGTTCAAATCCACCAGCCACTACTCGGAAGGAAGATGGGGCAATCTACTTCTGTAATGATACTGTCTCGGAAATCCAAGGAGGGGTCACTATGAGTCGGGTCCAACTCGCCAGCACATAACAACAACAAGCTTGCCCCAAGTGGACACTTTATGCAGTGGACCCGTTTACTGTACGGAAGATACAGTTTGGTGGTTGTTTCTAAGTGTGAACTTGGGCCCAATTTAAGATGATTTTTCCAAGAACTTGTACTTTCTAATAACGGAAATGGCTATCACTAAGCATGCACAAAAGACTAGGTGACCACATGGCAGAAATTGTATCAAAAAAGACTATTATCAAGTAAGAGGTTAGACTGAATAATCCCAAAGTGGCTGTTAATTCTGGAATTTCAACAGTCTACAAAATTAGGAAAGATCCACAAATATCTGAAAAGTAACTCCAATAGTTTCCCCAATGCCATTTCCCCCAAAACTCTCCCCCTTTTGCTTCACTAACGTTGATAAACACAAAATACCACTGTGGATACTATGAATTGTGGACAGGGAATACACAGTATTCATTTTTCTATTGCCACAAACTATCATATTTAAAGACTAAAACAACCTAAGCATTCAATAAATATATTTTTTTCAATAAATGGATCAGATCCATGATCTACCCAGCCTGGTACTCTATGCTTTATAGTTTTAAAAGAAGAGTTCTTCTTCTACAGTGAAAATGGAAAATAAAACTCCACATGATAGAAGATCTAGACCTAGGTGTAAAAAAGGACTCAGAAGTCTTATCACCCCACAAAGCAGTATTATTACTACTCCTTGGACCCTCTCTACCTTTACATCTGTTGTATTCTTGACCTCTGCAAAGTTATTTTTCCAGCATCCCATATTTTTCCTTTTAACATATATATTAAATTTCCTAAACGTGTCTTTCTTCTTTTTAGTATGTGTTATAACAGAATAACACTGTCATTTCATCTGCAGAAAGTATTCCCCTAAAAGATACCCTCTAAAACACTTAGAAACTAATTTCATGTCAAGCAAACAACAACTCATTCTCAGGCAGCCCTGGATACCTAAATGAGAAGACCACAAGGAGTCAACTCTGGCAAGCCTTGGCCAGAAACAAACGATAAAGATCCTGGTCTAATTTTAGATACACAATCACATACAATGGAAACCTAGACTTTATACCAACAAGGTGTCTATTCTTACCAATCCGACACAGTAACAAAATGCAAGTACTGTTTTAAACTTAACTCCTTTTCTCCTCTATTAATATTTAATTCAAGGTACTATTCACATCCAAATTATAACTCCTTGGGCTTCCAGCAATAGTTACACAGGAGTAAGCTGCATCCTTAGCCACTCAACTGACACTGAAATGTCAGTATTAGAAAAAGATTTACTAAGAGTCAAACAGGAATTAAAACATGAGAAAAGGTGATACTACTAGAATGAAAGTACAGAAGATATATCCCACCCCAGAGTACAGTATCACACACACAAGTCTCCTCTAGACTGGTGCATTAGTAAGTAGAGAGCCCTAAATAAAAAACTGGGAATCCCATGCATATTACTCACATTAACTCAAAATTTCTTCGTATGGCTTCTGGGATTTTGGGTTTTGTAACACGCACAGCCTAAAAAATAAAAGTGAAAAAGCCAAAGTATATTTGAAAAAAAAAAGAATTTTCAAAATAAGAGAAATGCTCCTTAAATGATGTTGATAAAACAACAACTAAGATATAATATAGCAGGCTACTAACAAGTATGGACCTCACTGGAAAATCTAACTTTCACGCCATCACACCATGAATCAAAGATAAACTGCTTGTTGTTTTCTTAAAAAATGTCTGACTACAGGAAAGACCATACAAACTCCCTGTGGAAAAAGGGTCTTCCCTAGAAAGTATTTTGCGAAGCTCTTCAGTTGGCATCAGCTTCCCTTTTCAAAGTTGAAAGACAAAGAAACAGAAAGAAGGAAGTCAAAGTTCCAAGACACAAATTGTAGAGTTGGAAACAGTCAAAAAACAAAAAACAGCCTAAGTCATTAGATACCATTTAAAACAACGGACAGTAAATCACTTAGTGTTGACTAAATAGCTCAACTACCCAAGCAAAACAAGTAACTTACTTACAATTAAGAGTTTACAACATTCTTTCTTACCAGAATCTTACTCAGATTAAAGTCTACCTGCTTTTTTAGACATTGTTTGCTAGACACTTTGATTATTTTTCTCTCTTAAGCATACCTTCCATGTAATTAAGATTATAACCTGCTTGGAAAATGCTATTTTTCGAAGAAGGACTTGATCCCTCAAAAACTTCTGATTTACTAGTGAAATATTCCCTACCCTTACCTCCACTGCAAATACATACACAGAACACTTTACTGATCTTAAGTTTTAATATCCCCTTGAAGACAAGCAACACAACCTTTAAACTCTATATGTATGAAAGGGAACAGTCAAATCTGTAGTTAATTTTGAGATCGTAACTAAATATAAGAATTAGAGTAGAGTGGATACGAAGCTGAGGCACTGGGGAAAGAATCCATCACATGCTGAGGTGAGGCACGTGAGGCCACAGGAACAGCTCAGTGGAGCTATGCAGTAGGTGACTAACAACTCAGGACCAGCCTTCATGAGAAATACCAGCTTTCACTATGTGACTGCCTGAAACTCAGATGAATTCCAACACCGATGACATGAATGAGAGGGAAGCACTGCCACACTGTGTTTAATGGCCCCATATCTTTTTAACCGTATAAAACTAAGCATAAAACAGGACTGTCTTTTGGAAATCCTATCTTGCTGTGTGAGGCTGAAGGGCACACCACCCCATGTCTGCCAATCTTGGGATGCTTTATGATTTTTGAATACGTGAAAACACAAATACTTGCTACAACAGGAATACTGAGTAAATCACATCACAACAAATTATAAAAAGAAAAATGATAACATCTCCAAAATCAATGGCCAAAATATATATATATATATACATATACATATAGTGAGTGAGTAGAGAAAAGGGGGGGAAAAAAGATGATGAAATGAATATACCAGTTGAAACTGACCCTTGGAATACATACATATATTTTAACCCCAAAACCAGCATTGCCATCAACCCTTTAAATAACATCCAAACCAAACCAACTTCACTGCCGTCAAGCCGATTTCAACTCATAGCAACTCCTCCTTGGGTTTCTGAGGCATTATCATTATCTCTATGGAAGTAGACTGCCCACTCTTCCACAGGAGGGAAAAAAATCATCAAGGATGCCCATTTTCATCACTCTACTCTACTATAGTAGCTGTTCAAGAAGCAAAGTGAGGCATAAATCAGGTGAAGAAAAAAATACTGATGGTTTCTGAGGTTGTTCCTTCAACAACAAACATCTATTGGGTGCCTATTGTTCCAACCACTGTTAGTCTAGGTACTGGGGTCAGAGTAGTGAACAAGGCAAGACTGTTCTTATGGAACTTAAAATCTTAAGAAAAGGATCAGATGATAAAAAACAAGAGCGCAAAATGTCAGTTCTACCCAAAGCAATCTATACATTCAATGCAATCCCAATCCAGATCCCATCAACATTCTTTAGGGATATGGAAAAAATGATCA